TAACGCACGAAACGCACAAGGTCACCTATGGTTGAAACGACCACTTTAAAGAGTCGTGTCCCCGGAAAGATCAAACTGTAAACAATCGTCTAACATATACTTCGAAACTCACAGAAAATGCATGTAAGCATCGATAAATGGTGATTGGGAATCCTTTTGATGGTCAAATGTACAATTAGGGTACTTTATCGAGTTCTCAATGAATTCACGTTGCCATCTGCATCACAAGAGCGCCAGTGAATAAGGAAGCACCGAAGACTATCCGCGAGATTTTTTTTCCACAAACCGCGTGACTATGAATCAATGAAACAGTGATAGCCTGTGGAAGACATATCTCAGCGTACAAATCTGCTCGCACAAAGATCTAATTACAAGCCCGGGCCAAAGGAACTATACGAGATGGCATCTTCACTTCACCCTAAAGAAGGCATCAGATCGCCGAAAAAGGTACAAAATTCTGTTCATCGTACCATCTACCCTCTGAAATCAGCGCGATTCGTTAAACATTTTCTCAGTTGTGGGCATACTTTCTGATAACTGTTACCGTAGTCCTCCGTCTTAAGCTTCTGAATGGCTTCCTACTTTTGAATGCGAACGAAAACAGATTGGTTTCGCTAGTCGCTGAAACGAATCTGCACGACGATGATGAATCGATCTCTTGGGCCAAAGGAAGGACTGAACTATTTTACCTGTGAGCGGCTTTCTACAAGTCCAGCATCGGTTTCCACGTCGATGCTGGCAACGAGCACGCGAAATACGGTGTGAGGTAGATCCCACTGCCTGAAGCAATGTTCAAAAGCCGGAAAGAGTCAACTAAGTAAACGGCGGCAATCAGGAATGACCGAACATGTTATGCCTTTAGGGGTAGTGCAAACAAAAACGCGTATAAACTGGGACGAAAACATTGTGAACAGCGTCGACATTAACCTTCAAAGAGAGCATGGTGACATCCTTTCATCATGCCGTTTGCCCTATGAACGGAAGATGGCGATACAAGGCTTGGACCAAGGCTGTTAAACTGTCGTCTGCCTATTTACAGTCATCTGTCTCAGTCCAGAAATACTTTTGCCACGTCGATTAATTCAAAGACAAGCTGATGCCGCTAATCATTCATTCATTCATTCATTCATCTTCCAGGGGCGCTTCTCCTTTCGGGTCGCGGAAGCAGAGGCGTTAAACAGTGCTTCCAACGTTCCCGATCCTGTGCCAGAGTCTGAGCTTCGGCAGAAGACAACTGGAGTCTGGAACAGACTCCCTCCATATACTAGCATCAGCTTAATCTGGCCGCCCCTGGGCTTTCTGCCGGTTGGCTTGGCAAGAAACAGCGGTTTAACCTTCCTTTCTGGGGGTATTCGCAACACATGCCGAAACCATCCAATGCTGTGACTTCTCAACCTGGAAAAGCAGAGGCTGTACAACAAGGCTCTCTCGGATGTCAGTATTCCGGACCGTGATGAGACGCGCAAGGTTAGCGACTCGTCTAAGAAAGCCCATTTCAGCAGCTTGTACCCGGTTTCAGAGCTTTTCAGTCATGGTCCACGACTCATGACCGTAGGTAAGCATGGGGAGAAAGATCGAGTGAACACCGAACTTAGTTTTCAGACTGAGCTCTGAATCAGTCA